GTCAGACCCCCTGCTCAGCAGGGAGCCTGCTTCTCCCTCTCCCTCTGCCTGCCACTCCCCTTGCTTGTGCTCTCTCTCTCTGTCAAATAAATAAATATTCTTTAAAAAGTAAAAAATAAAGTTTACTTTTTTCTCATGAAAAAAGTCCAGAGATGGACAGTCCTGATCTGGTACAGTGACTCCCAGTGTCAACAGAGATATAGGTCCCTTCATCCTTCTGCTTAGCTCTTAGCACACATGGATTCCATTCTCAAGGTCCAGGGTGCCCTTGGAGCTCCACGCATTCGCATCCGCCTTCCAGTCAGGACACCAAAAGAAAAGGAAAAACCCCCTGGTGGCAAATGCTCTCAGAAATCCCATCAAAAATTTCAGCTAGAGCTCAGTGGTGTGACCAGTGAGAGGGACAGTCTTTTTACCTGGCCACAGCGACACCTGGGCTAAAAGGATACCTGTTAGTAAGCAGGAAAGAATGGAAATTGGGAGTCTGTGTGACATGGTATTTCAGTACCTGTTTAGGGAACACCTAGCTCAGTCGGCCTGAATCCGCGAGTCCCCGTAGTTGGTGTAAGAGGGATAAGAAGTGGTAGGACATGAGACGAGAGAAGCAAATCCACATTTCCCTCTTGGTATGAAAGCTCTGTTGTTCAGCTGAACAGGGCGGTTCCCAGAGCTCAGGCCAGGCTGCACAGGTGGCATCTGCCAAGGCATCAGGCTAGGGCTCAGCACCTCCATTCAGATGCTTCCCTCTCAAAGGAAAGCAGCCGGGGTGGTTCTAGAAGTCACACAGGCCTTGGCTTGGCCCACTGTATATTGGCCAAAGGCCTATGATTTTTCCCTGGGAGAACCAGAGTTTGGTCACTGTGTGACCTGGGTGCACTCCCTCTATGTTTTCTGTTCTCACCGTCAACACTTAACCCGGTAAGAAGAGCCAGCATTATATTGAGTGCTTATTGTGTGCCAGACGTTCTGAGAGTTTCGTGTATAACAACTCATTTAAACCTCACATTTTCCTTAGGAGGGAGGTATTCAGTTTTATTGCTCCCATGTTAAAGTTTGAAACTGAAGCACAGACTTAAAAATAACTCACCCAGGTTACTAAACAGTGAGGCCAAATTTAAATCCAGATAGTCTGGTTCCAGAGTTCTCCCTGGTAACCATCATGCAGTTCTGCCGGTGGATGAGACGCCCCAGATCAGGAGGAAATGTCGGAGTTAAGACAGGCAGATGAAGGTAGGACCAGGCACAAAGCGCCTGACCTATCTGTTATGCAGGGAATGAGTGAAACTCTTGCTAACAGACCAAGCCTGGTAAAGGCTTTTCTCTTTTGATTCCCTCGTCTCCTCCCCTCTTTGCATTCTCACTCCAGTCAGCATGATCCATTAACAAGCTATGCTACGCTTTTCTGTTTCTTCTCATTCCTGCCTCCCAACCACTGTCACTGTAACAGGACTTCTGTGCATCTTGTTTAGGTTCCCATCCTTCCTGCCTTCCTAAGAATGTACAGAACCCACCCCCTGAGCCATCTGTCCCAGATCTATATTAAGAAGGGACTGGGGCGCCTGGGTGGCTCAGTCCGTTGAGTATCTGACTCTTCGTTTCGGCTTGGGTCATGGTCTCGAAGTCCTGTGATCGAGCCCTGCAGTGGGCTCCACGCTCAGTGCAGAGTCTGCCTGAGAGTCTTTCCTTCTCCCTCTGCCTCTCCCTGTCCCCCGCCCCCGCTCACCCTTTCTCTGTCTCTCTCTCAGAGAAAGAAAGAAAGGAGGGAGGAAAGGTGGGTCTGTGCTCTGACCTGTCCCATCACCCTATTTCTCAGGGTCACCCTCTTGAGCTTTTCTTCTGAGCAACTTGCACCTCTTCCAGGCCTCTGCTCTCTCTGTCACCCCCCATCTCCTTCAGTATCTGCACCTCCACTCACCTCGGCCTCCCTTTTTGTCCTAAAATTCTACCTCATGCCTGCTTTGACCCTACCAATCACGCGTTCTTTCCAAAGCATGACCCAAATCATTCCATATGCTAGAGCATGTTTGCTCGGCCCCACTGGTGATGTCCCGGCCGGCCCTTCCCTGAACCCCTGAACTCTCTAGCCCTCAGGGTTGGCACTCTCCCCTGAACCCCTCCAGCACCTGCTATCTGTACTACACTCCGTGGTCATGTGCTTTTACATGGCATTTTGTCACTAGTCGACATGATGTGGCTTTGTCGTGTCTCCTCAACTTAAGCTCTTTGAAGAGAGAAGTTTTTTGGGTTTTTTGGTTTTTCCCATTTTGCATCTATTGCAATGCCTAATGCAGTGCTTTTCTATTTAGTAGATGCCAAATAGCTATTTCTTGGTTGGTTGATTACAATAAGTTCTAGGTCTCTTTATATGTCCTTAATGATTTTTATACATTTCAGTTCCTTCAGCATTTGTCTTTCCATTTTGAAGAATCCTAATCATTTCTGGATGTTCTCATCTCTTTAATCAGCTCAACTGGGCATCCCTGGTCCTTCTCCAGCCCTGCTGTATCTTTCCAGAGATGCAAGGCCAAATCACAATGATCTCCCCTTTCAGGATACATTGTACTCTATTATTAACCTGCATTTTCTGCTGCTTGCCTGGCCTTGGAAGCCGCTTTTGTTAAGAAAACTCTGGACAGCAACCAGGAATATAGCCATGTAGAAGGTATTGCCCAGAAACAAGAGAGCCCTGCCAAGCACAGTCTCTCCCAGGTGCCCAGGAGCCCCCTCCAATAAGCACCTTCCAATCCAGCACTGCCTAGAATCCTACAGTGTGGGGACTAGGGGTGGGTTCAAAAGAAACTGGCAACAGCCTCATTTGGAAGGCGTAATGTAAAAGCTAATGGATTAACAAGAGCAGTCTAGTTGATTCAGGACATAAAATGAGCACTAAAGATGGAGTTGTCAGGAAGAGTGAATCTGGGAAGGCTTCCCGGAAGACAGAAGTGGTGTAGGGGAGTTGGTTTCACACACTTCTCTCAGCACTCCTGGGCAGAAACTTCCTGAAGTGGGGGGGGGGGAGTGCCTTAGCATTCCCTTACTGGTAAATGACCAGACATCTCCCTGAGCGTGCTCTGCACCTCTGCGCCTCCCTTGGCAGCACAGGGGCTGCTGGGCGTCTGCCTTTTACAGTTGAGACGCAGGGTCCGACAGCTCACTCAGCAGGCAGATCAGCTGGACGGGGGCGGGGGGAGGGGAGGTAGAGGAAATGAGGTTGGCGAGAAGGGGAGTATAGTATACTTAGAGAAGGTGCGTGATGCTGAGACTCTGAGACTCTCTCCTCACAGCACTTCTTGTTCTTTCTGTCCTCCCTACAGCATCCCTGTGAGCACCTGCCTAAGACAGAGGATGGTGCTGGCCTCCCCCCTCCCTTTTTTTTTTTTGCTGCTTCTGACCTGCCCACTGTCCATTTTCCTGCCCGCTGGCTTCAGGCCAAAGCTCAGGAGCAGTGAGCAATTGAGAGCATCTTCGACTAGCATTAACAGAAATCAGGGGCGCCTGGGTGGCTCAGTCGGTTGAGCGTCCGACTCTTGATTTTGGCTCAGGGCCTGATTTCTGGGTCCGTGCTCAGCAGGAAGCCTGCTTGAGATTTTCTGATTCTGTCTCTCCCTCTGCCCCTCCCCACCGCACTCCACATGTGTGCTCACTCTCTCTCTCCCTCTCTCAAATAAGTAAATCTTTTTTAAAAAATCAAATTGCTTAAATGATGCTTACACTGAGCGTCAGGGCGGGGTAGGAGTCTCACACGGGCAGAAAGTTTCTATGGGAGAAGCCGCACTGACACTGGCCGCAGCCGAGCTGTCTTCTCTTCAAGGAGCCTTGAACCAGCAGTGAGGCTTGGGCAAGGGTCAGGCTCACTAGGCTTCCTCCAAAATCAGAGGAGTTGTCCTTAAAAGCTTAATTGTGACTTCCAGAAATCTTAGCCCAAGATGCTGAGCATCTTCATCTCCTGTCTCCATTTCAGAACACACCTACGTTGGGGGTAGCACTCCTTACGTAGAGCGGAGAGCAGGTGTCAGCAGAATTCTGCTTCGTACAACCAAACTGGGAGGCGAAACAAGGCAAATGAGGCCACCCTGGCCCCGTTCAGGGGAACACAGGATAGCTACTCCCTGCCTGAGAACAGGGCAAAACCAGCCTGAGCAAAGAGTAGGGTTGAGGGACCACCCGCTAGCTCCTGGGGCCTCATTAAGCTGAATTCTATTTGGGACATTCGGTTGAAATGGGAGAGAGAGGAGTAATTGTGATTAATGGCACCTTGGCTCCTGTCAAGAGGATGGACAGAGAGTCGTGTCAAAAACTGAGTTGCTGGGCGCCTGGGTGGCTCAGTTGGTTAGGTGACTGCCTTCGACTTAGGTCATGATCCTGGAGTCCCGGGATCGAGTCCCGCATCAGGCTCCCTGCTCGGTGGGGAGTCTGCTTCTCCCTCTGACCCTTTCATGCTCTATCTCATTCTCTCTCTCAAATAAATAAATAAAATCTTTATAAAAAAAATTGAGTTGCTGACCCATCCTATCTATTGGCCTTTCCTACCACGGATATTTTTTCCTCTCTTACCTTTGCTCTCGCTCCAGTGGCTTTGAGTACTTTCCAGAGGTAACTACAAGGCCCAGAACAGCATGAGGAGCCCGTGCCCTGGGGAGTAGGTAAAGACAGGGAAGAAGAGGGAATCTGGTCCCAGCGTGGAGAAGCAATGGAGGCAGAATGGTCGCGCTGGCCCATGCCCATTGCTCCTAGTCTTGCACTGGACAGAGATGGCTGGGGCCAGCTGCAGACATGGAAAGGATTTGGGGGGGCTTATGGGGTGTGAGAGCTCCACTCTGGCGGGATGAGCAGTGCCACATTTTAATTGTCATTAGCAATAAAAAATGAGCAGTGAGGAAACCCAGCCTCAGCCCGCAGAAGAGGGCAGAGGCCAGGCTCCTTGACCAGGCCATCTGGCCTCTGGCATGCTGTACATCTCCCAATCTGGGCTGTATATAATGGGTGGCTTTTTTCCGTAGGCTTTTCGTTGTATTACAGACAGGCCACAGAGATCACAGGCCCTCCAGGTCATAGCAAGCAAGGATCCAGTCTGCCCATGTGACAGCAGAGTGAACACGCAACAGCCCTCGCCCACTGGCACTGCTGAGCATGAAGACTAGATCATCTCAGAGGATGTTTTGTTTTCCTTACTGTGTTCAAATAGGTCTGAAACACAGAGTCCCTGAAGAGGCCTGAATCTCCTCTCCCCTGGGCCAGAGAGAGCAGCCCCTCCGCGTGGGGAGAGAGGAGCAGGGGCTCTTGCTCTGTGGCCTGTCCAGGGATAGGGATCGCAGGGCTGCCGGCAGCCCTAGCACACGGCCTGCCCTGGGTGGTGGAGCGCACGGCCTGCGGAGCACAGTGGGCCCACGCCAGGCCTCCTGTGGGCAAGTGAAGACAGCTGGATTTTCAGGAAGGATACAGGTAAACACAGGGGCAGGGGGGCTTAATAAGAGGAGCCCAGAGGAGATGGTACTTTCTTAGCCGGATGAGGAGGGAGGGAAAGAAGAAGGAGTGAGGGTCCCCAGAATCTGACGGTTCCTCCTTCATCTCCTCAGTGCCTTCAGCTGCCTTCATGCAGTTGGTCTGACGTTAATCAGGAGGGCTGGGTATTGTGTTGAAATTGGTTGCCATTTCTTATACTCAGTGTAATAAAATAACTAAATTGGCTGGTCCGTAGCTGTTCCAAGTCTTTTTCTCTCTGGTGCCTTTCTCTGGCCTGCAAGAGGGATTGGTGTCTGTGTTCCTATTTCTAAGAGACCGGGTGATGGTGAAAGAGAAGGAGCTCTGTGTCCCCTTTTTCCCCCAGCATAGGACATCCTTTGCCATAACCTGACAGCTTTTGAGTGGCTCCCATGGCCACCGCCCAGTTCTGAGAGCTCTGAGCCATCCAAGCCCCAGATTCCCTTAAATCTAACAGCAGCTGCCTTTTTTCGAAGATTTCCCTGGTCTCGCAGAAGGGCCTGAGACCTGCCCACCCTGGCAAGGGACTCGGAGCTTGAGGCTTTCTCAGCCCTGCCCTCAGGTGTCCCTTCAGGCTACCGAGGACTAACCAGGACATCTGCCCCCTGGCTTGGAGGACTTACCAGACAGGGTCCGGGGTCCTGTCCTGTCCTCATAGCTCTTGCTCTGGCTGTCTCATGCCTGCTTTTGCCCTTCACCCCTTCTTTGCTGAGGGATGGTAGCCAGGAGTGGTGGATGTGTAGGAGACCAGAGGGAGGCACACACAGCTGCTGCCTGTGCTCATGCCTGGATAAATCGAGGAATCCATCCTCGCTCCAGTTATATTCAGTACAGGCAAAGCCAAGTGCGAAACAGCCCCTTCTGCTCATGACGTCTGGGAGCCTCTGAGTCATCAGTGCTGGCTGCACTGACCAAAGCCGGTTTCTGCCCCTCTGGGCTCCTACAGGCAGAACTGCTCCGACACGGGCAGCTGTGGGACCGCCCTGTCACCTTAGAGAGGTTCTCAAGACAGGCCTTCTCCAGTCGGTTGGGTGCCACTGGATTTCCCCAAAGACAGTTTTCTGTCCCAGGAACTTTCCTGCTCCAAGTTGACTGCCAGTGATCTGGAGAAGCTAGGACCTTTGACCTTTCACCATGGGCTTACTGAGTGCTTACCGTGTGCCAGTAATAAGATGCCATTAATAAATGCCCATTATAATACTATAATTAATAGTGGTATGAGCAAAGTGCTGTGGGGAAAAGCATTACTAAGTAAATAATGGAATGGTTTGGGTGAAATCCCATCTGTGCAGAATCTTAACGCGTTGGGTAGGAGTTCACAGGTACAGTAATAGGAGTGTGCTCGCCGCAAGGAATCGTGTGCACAGAGGCCTGGAATGGTGTGTCATAGTGTGGCGCTAGAGTTGGTCTGGCATGACTAGAGCAAAAGAATGAGGGCCAAAACGGTAGAAGGCGAGACAGTAAGAATCCAGTCATAAGCTGTACCTTGCTGTGCTGAAGAATTTGAATTTTAGCAGAAAACAAGGAAAGGATTTCAGCAACGGAGTGATCAGGTTTGGATTTTTTGTTAAGTAACAACAGTTACTGGGCATTTACTATATACTAAACTCTTGAGTGTTTAACTGGAATCAGTTTATTCTTCAATAAAAACCTTCGAAATAGGCACCATTATTATGCCCATTTGACCAATAGGAAAAACGTATAACCAGAGAGGTTAAATCAGTCACTCACAGCTAGTAAGTGGCTCCCCAGCCTAACAGTCTGTCCCCAGCCTGTCGCACTGCCTGTGACAAGCCACACCACAGCATTGTGGGAGGGCCATTAGGGAGACACAAGGCTGGTGGCGGGGATAGCAGTGAAGGGGACTGCTACCCAAAGGTAGGACCTGAACTCAAGCAGTGGCAGTAAGGATAGAGAAAAGGGGAAGAATTCAGGAGACATTTCTGAGGTAGGATTGGTGTGACCTGGAGGTTGATTGTGAATGTAAGGGAGGCAGGATGATTCCCAAGCTTCTCCTGCTACTGACTGGGATAAGAAAGGTGGATGGAGGAACAGGTTTTAGAATGAAAACAGTAGATTCACCATTGGACGCGTTATATTTGAAATTGGTCAGGTGGAGTTAAACTCTGAAGAGAGGTCTGGACTGGAGATAGAAGTCGTGGTGTCCTGTAATTCTGAGAGCAGTGAAAACTGGGGACTGTACAGCTTAAAATGGCCCCCTGGCGAATATCCATGTTTAAGGAGATGTTGGGAGAGAATTCACAGTTGAAACTAAGAACAGGGAGAGGAAACCATGGTCGGGAACCACAGAGGCCAAAAAAAAAAAAAAGAAAATTTAAGATGGAAGAGGGGTTCTTAGCTCTGTCAGATCATTCAAAAGGTCAAAAACAATGAAATGCAAGAAGAAATCGTTAAAATGACAAGAGGTCCTGAGTGACTTTGAGGTGGTAGTTACCTTGGACTGTCGACAGTGGTGAGCCACCACAACCAATGGGGAAGGAAAAGGGAATCCTCTGGGCAAGGAGAACCAGGTCAACTGGGTGGACATGCGATCAAGGCACGGTTTTCTAGGATGGGCAAGATATTCTTGGGCAAAGAGGGGGACGCTGACAGAAAAGGGAATTGGAATGGTAATGGTAGTAATAAAGAAGACTATCTGGAGGCCGCTGATGAAAGCAGCCTTCACTGCTCTTTTGGGGTGGCACTGCTCTTCTCCAGCCAGGGAGCATGGAGCGGGGGCTGGGCCATTCAGGTGTGCCCCACCCTCCGACGGAATTCCAAAGCTTACCTCAGGCTCAGGCATTCTGTGGGAACAAGTGCCACCAGTGGTGCCCCGGATAGGGGGGCAGAATGAGGGCCTCCTGACTCAGCTTCGTTCCCTGCATGAACCTCAGGAAAGAGGGAGTTAAATCTCCCTCCAGCCTTTCGCCCTGGGTTTTCTTGGGAAGATGAACAATCTCCTTCCCTCATTGTCTGCACCAAAGGGACAGATTGCGTCAGTTTATAAACTGTGTTATCGCTTGCAAAGGCCTGGAGTCAGCAGGTTTGCATTTCCCGGCAGACTCAGACGAGGCTGATCGCCTTGGCTGGCAGGGACCAGGAGCTGCCTTTCCCCCTCC